TTTGCTGGTATTACACAGTAATATTTACGGGGACACTCTAGTAATTTCCAGTGCTAACCCATTTTACTAGGATGAGACTTTTTTGTTCCCTAGCTGGCCTGTGATCCGGTTTTGTTCCAACAGGCTGGAGAAAGCAAGTGGAGGTATGGGTACGACATATTATATTTCCAGGTACAGATATACAAATCTGAAAATTACTTACATTTCAACAGAATTGTAGAGCGGGGGATCTAAAAATTGGGTAGTTCTGTACGGCGAGAGAGTTCGAGCCATCATTTTACCATTCTGCTTCAGATGCGTCCCCTTTCTTTGCACTTGTCACTGTGTTTCTCGTAAAGGATCTGTTGATAGGGATATAAAAGAAGAGCAGCAATGCTGTAACACTTAAGCACAAACTTAGTGCTTCCGTTACCAAGGTGTCCCGTCCTGCTCGGCGGGAATAGGGGAAGGTGATCTTTTTAATTCTCTGTGCAGTACTGAGAATCATAACAAGACCAAGAGCTTGACTAGAAACAAAGCTTTACTTGGAATGGAAGTGGAATTACAGAAGATTATAACTTTGGAACTTCATAACATTACTATTAGTGCAGTGGGGTCAGAAATGGATATTGACTTTGTAACCAGAGTGATGGAGTTTGCTAACCATAGTGTAACCAGAGTGATAGAGTCTGCTAACCATAGCAACGAACAACAAAAAAGGGGGGCGGGAATTGATACCAATTAGTGTATTTTTTTAATCTGTATTCTAGTCTCCGAGTAACCACTAATGCTAACAAAATAGTAGACAATGTGTTTCTGTCAAAAGAGAGTGATGAAGTGTGTTTTCGTGTAGCAAACTGAGAAAGCTAGCTAGGACTGCCAAGATTAAGAGCCGAGTAGGTAAAAGGTAATTCCAAGAGGGGGAGATTGCGACCACCGACCCACTGACCACCTACCCAAGTGATACCACCTACTCAAAAGAGAATAATGGAAGAGGATGACTGAGTCTGTGCAATAATTTACATGCGAAGTGAGCAAATTTGCACCAATCACCAAGGAGAATAATAATGCATATGTATAAATAAAGTAAATATGTATATTTCTGATTTATAGAAAACCACATGGAAAAGGTATGAGGTATGGACGTTTGGTGGAACTATCCCCTGTGCATCCAGAGCTGCAATAAAGAATGCCTGCCTTTTAACACTACACTGGTGTTACGAGGTTTTATTCCCAGATTGGATTTTCAGTGACGACTTGGCAAAAGGCTTCAACAACACAATGTCTGATTTCACAAAACCACAGAATATAGCAGGTTGACAGGCTTATACCAACATTACCCTTATGTGCTGAGAAAGCCAGAGGCAGAGAAAGGGAAGAAATAAGAGAAAAGATATCACCACTCTTGGATCCAGCAGCGGTCTCTGAGCTGGTGGTCGGGGTCCTCCGGAGGTGGGCCGGAGGTGGGGACCCACCTGGGGGTCTGGGTCTTCTGGTGGTGGGCACACACAGCAAGGGAGCCTTGGTGATCTCACAGTCCCCCCCCAAAGGCAAGTGCTCAGCTTCCTTGCCTACGTGACATGGGTGGGTTTCGAAAGCCAACACCCTGCCTCCGCAGGGTTTCGCTCGCTCTTCCACGCTCCCTTGTCAAGATGAGGGAGTACCCAAAGCACAATGCCCCATTTCGGAGTTTGCTTAATTCGAGCATCTCTATCGGTTTCTCAAGACGGGTGTTTGAGACAATCGCCCACTCTGGCCTGGGACTGTTTGTGACAACTGCCCACCCCAGCCTGGGGCTGTACGCAAGGTCTTTGGTCTGTTTGAATAATTTAAAACCCAATTAAAATGGTAAAGTGGATCAGTCATGTTCTGCCCAGATGAAGCGAGCGTTCCAGGCGATGACGCTGGTGATGGGGCTGAGCAGCGAGGCCCCTCGCGCCACACTGGCGCTCGACAGCAGCCCGCAGCTCCCGCTTGGAGGTGGGCACCGCACCCCGGCCGGGAAGCTTGGATTTCACTGCGACAAAAACGCAACACGCCACGAGACAGCATTTCACAGCGGTGAGGAGACACAAACCGCCAACATCTCCACGTGGAAAACCGGGAGTCTTTCTCGGCATTTTTTCGCTTGAAGTAACTTCAGGGAAAAAACTTGCACGCACGCAGAGCACCCTTTATTTTAGACGAAGGTGAACAGGTTAAAGAATATTATATTTTTTCCCCCCTCAGCGTGACAAATCACGTGCCAACCCCAGCCAACTCTCTTCCCGCCTGCAGCCCTCCCCTTGGACAGGATTCTC